TACCCTTGAAGGAAAATCCCAAAATCTCAATCCAGTGGTCACCGCACTAGTGGAGGTCTGCACTAGAAGAATGCCCAAGATGAAGCACGAGTGCCTGTGCTAGTATTTTTTTTTATTATCATTATCTTTTCATTTTAACAAGTTTTTTTTATTTTTTATTTTGATGAGAAGTGTAGATAATGTATTTTTAACACTAAAGAAGGAAACTGTTTGACGGGATTGATTAGTTTTTGATCTGGTATGATGGATTTGATGAATTATTAATGGACCATGTTTCGGATGCCAATATTCTCTCAGGATATGTTTTTGCTTTTGCTTATACAAACATGTGGTTGGGACTACCGGTAGCAGATATACATCAGTAAGGTCAAAGGTCCCCTTCAATGTCTTATTTTTGAGGTCACTTGTGAGTCCCACTTATTCTGAACCAGAAACAGCCAATTTGATTCTGTACCATTAGTTTTATTTACCTAGTTGCATGAATCATGAGGTTCTATGAAGCTTTAATTTTCATAGATATTCAGGAAGATTGAAGTCATGTATGTGAAAATTGACAATGAGTTTTAACACAAGATTTTTATGTAATTTAAAATTAATTGATAATAAATAAAATAAATTTTTTTAAATTTAATTCTTGCACTTCTTTGCTATTTTATTCTGGTGAGATTTTCTTACTAAACATAAGTGAAAATAAAATATCTTCACATATTACTTTCAGGGTTTCTTTTTGGCTCACAAATGACAAGATATTGTGTGACTTAGCTTTGTTATGACCGATTAAGAATGTTTTATATACGTAACACCCACCAAAAATTGGAAAAAAAAAAGATAAATCATGGAAACTTGTGGCTTTGAAATCCTTTATTAAAAAAGGGTTAAAACTTAAAAGAAAGGTAGCTTTTGAAGTATGTTCAAAAAAAAAAAAAAAGGTAGCTTTTGAAGTGGCTGCATTATTTATCTGATGCTGGTGTTGATATCTTACCTTCTTGCTGTACCTGTACTATAAAATCGGCTACCTCCCTTCAGAATTTATGAACAAGCGTACAAAGGGGAGTGAGTGAGTAGTTTATTGAGGTTGATCAATGTCTTCAACTGTGGTGTCTACGATTTATGCAGTTTGCAGCAATATAACTGGGGTTGCAGGTAAAGTTTCTATATTTCTCCTTTATTTGTCTGATGGATGCTATAGATGAAAATCAATCAAAAGCTAAACAATGATTTTATCCTCGTTTTCTATATGAAGGTTATGAGGGTTTCAAGTTTGAGTTTAATTTCTAAATTATACCATTCTGTTATGTGTCTATTCTTGGTCCTCTTTTCTTTTCTCGAGGGATGGTTTCAGGTGTTACCCAAAGATGACTGAGTAGAAAATTGCATCAAATTTTAATGATTATGAGATATAAATCTTATTAGCATAAAAGAAGCTGGAATTGTTTGACTTAGCCATGTTAATCTGTTTGAACATCAATAAAGATACTACTTCTTTGCTGAGAAATTGGAGGAAAGTTGGATAGAAAGGAAATTTAGTGTCATACTTGAAACAACTGAAAGAAGTTCATTTTGTTTCTATTTTACATCTGATAAGGAGGGATGGACACAACTGAAATTTTCTGTTAATGATTTATTTAATTTTCTGATTTCATATTTTCTTAAATTAAAGCTGAGGGCCCCTTTAGCTATAACTAGTGGTTGGTGTTCTTAAAAGTTATTGTGCACATTGCAAGAGGAGCTACTCCAGATTCCAGAAACTGCAATGGTCATAGAAAAATATTAGTACAAGATAACATAAGGATGGAGTTCTACTACTAATAGGATATTATCATCTTTAAGCTTCCTAACCATTTTATGATGCTTCAACTTTCCAGTATCTCTTTAATGTTTTGTGAACTTTCACCAAACACAAAAAATTGTTGCACATGTCAGATTGATTTATTCTAATTCTTTTCTGTACTTTGTATTTTGCAGGAAACCTCTTTGCTTTTGGATTGTTCTTGTCACCAATGTGAGTCACTTTAAACTTTTGATGAGAATCACTAAAGAACAAAAGAATTAAAACTGAACAGAAGTGATCATATGCCAATTAACATTTTCTTTTTGGTCTTCCAGACCAACTTTTAGGAGAATCATCAGAAATCAGTCAACAGAAGAGTTCTCAGGGATGCCTTATGTATATGCCCTCTTGAACTGCTTGATATGTCTCTGGTATGGAATGCCTCTTGTATCGCCTGGTATAATATTGGTTGCCACAGTCAATTCCATTGGGGCTGTTTTCCAATTAATTTACATCAGCATTTTCATAAGATATGCTGAAAAGACAAAGAAGGTATTCATTTCTTAGAGTTTTTAATCACTTACTGCGGCAAGATCTCAGAAACAGCCCCTGTAATATGACTGGATTGTTCTATCTGTACTTGCAGCTGAAGATGTTAGGGCTCTTGATATCAGTCTTTGTGCTATTTTCTGTCATAGTATTTGTGAGCATGAGACTGTTAGACCCTAATTTGAGGCAGATTTTTGTTGGATATCTGAGTGTTGCTTCTCTAATCTCCATGTTTGCCTCTCCCCTGCTTATCATTGTAAGTTCTTCAAATTTCTAGTTCTTTTAACTTCTTTGCACAATTCCTTCTCACTTCTATTCTGTCTGTGTGCATTCCAGAATTTGGTGATCAAGACAAGGAGCGTTGAATACATGCCATTTTATCTGTCTCTTTCTACACTCTTGATGAGTTTTGCCTTCTTTGCATATGGAATGTTCAAGCACGATCCATTCGTTTATGTAAGTGTGCTCTTCTCTAAATATCTTGTGGGCATGATTCTCTTTTTGCCAAGCATAGAAAAGAAAGAAACTTGAATCCCCAAACCAAAGTGCAGATTAGCTAGTAATGCTTATTAGTTAGTTTCGATTATACATCAAGACTATCCTACTGGCTTTTCATTTCCAATGCTGTCATAGGCCATCATTGGACTCAATGGAGTGATTCATCCCTAATATGAGAAGAGCTAAAACTCCCCATGTTTTTGTTTCTTACCGCTACTTACTTTTTTTATGTTTTCTTTTGCTTCTCCTAATTTAATGCAGGTCCCAAATGGGATTGGAATGTTGTTGGGCAGCACACAGTTAGCCCTGTATGCCTATTACAGCTCCGCATCCAGAGAGGACACAGAACAGCTCCTGTTCAATCCATAAAATGTCAAAGGAGAGCAAATTGTACTGGAGAAGAGACATCCATGGAATGTATAATATGACGTTTATAAAAAAAAAGATGGTACCCAAAGTGGGATAGAGGATTTGTACTTAATAAGGTGAGTGCCACTCAAGAGAGATCATTTTTTTATGGCCATATGGAAAAGCATTATCCATTGAGGTTTTGATTTCTCTCGAGCACGAGAAAAGTGTAAAATGGATAATCACAGCATTTATATGTGACTTTATATGCTGTGCTTGTATATATAGTTGGATTGACATTTTGTTTGACAATTCAGACTAAAATAAACTCTCTTATTAACGTCTTCTCATGGAAAATAAATAAAATTACATAAAATGAGAAATAAATTATAAAAAAGTGTTTTTTAGTTGAAAATGGTTTTTTTTTTTTATAATTTAAGTATTGAAATTATCAAAATGTCCTTATTAAAATTGGCTTTTATGCTTATTTATTAATAGTGGTTTGATAATTCAGTACTTGATTTGCAAAACAAATAGAATTTGTATTAAAAATAATTTTTTCAATAAACTAGGCGTTCAATTGCTACTCGCATGAGTGTTTTTTTTTTTTTATAATTTAAGATTACACAATGGAAGAGCAAAATTATCTTTCATTTGATCCAATAACACACAATTTATTTATATATTATACGAGTCGAATTTAAAATGTTTTATTTGAAGAGGTGAAAGGAGATTAGCAGTGGAGGTAGTTGATTACCTACTTCCATGATCTTCTGATTCATTACTATTACTAATATGAAGTAAGGGCAAAATGGTCATTTCGCATTCTTTCATGACAACTAAACGAAACAGGCCACTAAAAAAGACGCGAACAAGGCGTCACGCCGTCAACCAAGGGGGAAGGGATAAAACCCTACTCTTCTTCTACACCAGCGTAGGGGAGAAACCCTAGTCGGGGGAGATCTAAGTTCCTTCACTCTCCGGGACTCCCGAGGAGGGGAGGGGCTTTCCAGCCCTATCTCTGTTATCGTGTCAATTCGGGTTTCTTCGATCGATCGAGACCTTCTACGGGTGTCTTTCGAGTCGAGTCTCGCGATTCCACCGAAGGTTTTTGCCTGTTCGGCTTCGTATCGGTAAGTTCGCAAAACCATAACCCTAGAATCGGGTATCTTTCCATGTGTGTATGTAGGTTGAGTCCTCTGCTTTGTTTGTTTTGGTTCCTGATATAGAAGGAGAATGTAAGTAAATAGTGAAGAAAGACTGTACCAAACATGGTAAGGAAATTGAATTTAGAATTGAATAAAGATTTGAGCTTTTTTTTTTTGGTTTGGTAATGTTGTTTTTGTTTATTTATTTTTAATGTTTTCTCTCTTTTCTTTCCATGCATAATTGGTTCTTGAATATATTTTTTTTCCTCTAGGTTATTTATGTTAGTGATCCCTTCCATCAGTTTTTTTTTTAAGTAAAAAAGGAGTCGTGTTTCATGTAGAACAAAAAAATTTTGAGGATTTGTATTTTGCCACAAATTTGGCGTTGTATTTATTGGTTTACCAGGTTTCAATTTCCTTTTTCATTAAAACAAAAACAAGAAAAAATTCTGTTATATTAATATTTTGCCTTTTATTGTCTGCATACCCCTTTTTTTTATTTGATTTATGTTTAGTCAATTTGAAATTTTTGTTAAAGAATTTTCTTTAGGATTTTGCTTCACTTGTATTACTTGCTAAATTTGTGGCGTTTGTTTAGCTTCTCTAGTTAACTAAGTATCCAAATTTGAGGGCAATACTATCAACTTTTGCAGCATGTCATCATGGTTGCTGTGACGAAGATTAAGATCAAATGTCCTACCATTCCTGGACCTCAGCCATGCGAGTTTGGGAGGCAGCCGTCTGTTCACAAAGAAAGGGGTGAGAACAGATCTGTTGATTCTAATGGCCAGTTAGACATTGAGAATGAACAGAAGTGTCTGGCTAGTTCTCTTGGCAAGAAAAAGTTTCTTGCTGCTGGAGATTCGAGAGAGACATTCTTTGTAAAGGGTGCTAAAAAGCGTGGACCAGAAGAAATGATGGATGGTCTGCAAGAGAAGAGGCAGAAAATGGATCGTGCTATGACACTTCAGTGTTCTGCTGTTCTTAAAGAATTGATGTCTGATCGATGGATTTCTATTTTTAGTAAACCAGTCGATCCAGTAGCATTGAATATTCCTGATTACTTCTCAATTATAACTAGCCCCATGGATTTGGGTACAGTTAAATGCAAGCTAGGCAACAATACTTACCTGGATATTGAGGACTTTGCGGCTGATATCAGACTGACTTTTTCCAATGCCATGCTATATAATCCCGCAAACAATTGTGTTCACAAACTAGCCAAAAAATTGAGCAATAAGTTTGAGGCAAGATGGAAAACTTTGAAAGGTGAAAAATCTCGTGTTGGCGAGGGTAAAGTTTCAAGCATGCGCATGAAAGGAAACAATGAGTTGAGACAGAATAGTCTTAAAGCTCCCCTGTTGCACAGAAACACCTTGTGTGCAGAGGCAGCAGAAGTAAGTATTTCTTCATGAAATTTTGTCAGTTCAGATCAGTTATATTACTGGTTTGGTTGTTATATTACTGCTTTGGAGGCTGAGTCTTTTAATTTTTTTTATTAGGCAGTGCACTGCAAACCAGTTCCCAGCTATACAAGCAATCGTTTGGGGAAAAAGTTATCCAAAGGTATGTGGCAGAGTGCTGTTCTACTTTATGGCTCTTTATATGTGCTAATTTGTAATATGTCTTATAGGCATCAATAGTGGTGGTGAAAGACCTTGGGTCACTATTAGTAACAAAACTGCAGTGGGCTCTGGTCCCAGCAAATGCAGTACGTGTGGCAGCATCAGCTGCCAATGTAGCCTTATCCATGATTCAAATCATGCATCTTCAAGTGGTAAGTTGATCCCTTCTCTTGTTATCTTGCTCTCAAAATTGTAATAATAATAATCATTCAACTTGATTTATTTATTTATTTTTGTTTAGATATAACTTCAGAAAGATCAATGAGTGGAGACCATCGTGCATGCACTACTGATGCTTCTCAGCTGGTAAACTCCCTATTGATGTACCAAAAACAAACTCCTTTGATTGTTTTTGTATTTATTCCATGATGTGTATAGACTGTAATTTTATTTTAAACTCCAGGATTGCCTAGCAAAAAGTACATTAACATCACAGATGAGCAAGTCAGACCCAGATTCTGATGGTGAGACAGTGTTTTCAATTACACTGTATGGCATTGAACTTGTTTCTTGATCTATCCATTGGTATGCTTCTAAACTGATCTGAAATTGTATTGGCATCCTTTTAAAAATTATGAAGGGGCAATGAGTGCCTTTGATGATGGACATGGTTGTCTTAGCTCGGAACTCAAAATTCCTGCAACTGATGCTGCTGTTAGTGAAGGTCAGTTCTGATACTTGATTTCTCCCTTCTTTTT